GTTGCCAGATTAAGATGCAGAATTTATCTAGAGGCCAAACTATTAACAAAAAGCCAAACCTTATGAATATCGCTTGAGTTTTGACCATGTTATGACGTTGGGAAATGTTGACCTTTGTCTATATAGGATATTTGAGGGAACAATTTTCACATGCATTTTGACTAAAAATAGTGTTGCCATGCTTAGATGCAAAATTGATATGGAGGCCAAACCATGAACAAAAACCAAACTTTATGAAAATCGGTTGAGTTTTGACCGAGTTATGAGGGTGGGAAATATTGACCTATGTCTATATAGGATATTTGAGGGTACAATTTTCACATGCATTTTGACTAAAAATTGTGTTGCCAGATTAAGATGCAGAATTTATCTAGAGGCCAAACCATCAACAAAAAGCCAAACCTTCTGAAAATCGGTTGAGTGTTGACCGAGTTATGAGGGTGGAAAATGTTGACCTTTGTCTATATAGGATGTTTGAGGGTACAATTTTCACATGCATTTTGACTAAAAATTGTGTTGCCACATCAAGATGCAGAATTTATCTAGAGGCTAAACCATGATCAAAAAGCCAAACCTTATGAAAATCGGTTGAGTTTTGGCCGAGTTATGAGGTTGGAAAATGTTGACCTTTGTTTATATTGGATATTTGAGGGTACAACTTTCACATGAATTTTGACTAAAAATAGTGTTGCCATGCTTAGATGCAAAATTGATATAGAGGCCAAACCATGAACAAAAAGCCAAACTTTGTGAAAATCGGTTGAGTTTTGACCGAGTTATGAGGGTGGGAAATGTTGACCTTTGTCTATATAGAATATTTGAGGGTACAATTTTCATATGCATTTTGACTAAAAATTATGTTGCCAGATTAAGATGCAGAATTTATCTAGAGGCCAAACCATCAACAAAAAGCCAAACCTTCTGAATATCGGTTGAGTTTTGACCGAGTTATGAGGTTGGAAAATGTTGACCTTTGTTTATATTGGATATTTGAGGGTACAACTTTCACATGAATTTTGACTAAAAATAGTGTTGCCATGCTTAGACGCAAAATTGATATAGAGGCCAAACCATGAACAAAAAGCCAAACTTTATGAAAATCGGTTGAGTTTTGACCGAGTTATGAGGGTGGGAAATGTTCACCTTTGTCTATATAGGATATTTTTGGGTACAATATTCACATGAATTTTGACTAAAAATTGTGTCGCCAAATTAAGATGCAGAATTTATCTAGAGGCCAAACCATCAACAAAAAGCCAAACCTTATGAATATCGGTTGAGTTTTGACCGTGTTATGAGGGTGGGAAATGTTGACCTTTATCTATTTAGGATATTTGAGGGTACAATTTTCACATGCATTTTGACTAAAAAAAAGTGTTGCCATGCTTAGATGCAAAATTGATATAGAGGCCAAACCATGAACAAAACGCCAAAGCTTGTGAAAATCGGTTGAGTTTTGACCGAGTTATGGGGTATGCAATGCTTACCTTTGTTTATATAGGATATTTGAGGGTACAATTTCCACATGCATTTTGACTAAAAAGCGTATTGCCAGATTAAGATGCAGAATTGATTTAGAGGCCAAACCATGAGCAAAAAGCCAAACCTTATGAAAATCGGTTGAGTTTTGACCACGTTATGAGGGTGGGAAATGTTGACTCTTGTCTATATAGGATATTTGAGGGTACAATTTTCACATGCATTTTGACTAAAAATTGTGTTGCCAAATTAAGATGCAGAATTTATCTTGAGGCCAAACCATGAACAAAAAGCCAAACCTTATGAAAATCGGTTGAGTTTTGACCGTGTAATGAGGGTGGGAAATGTTGACCTTCTTCTATATAGGATATTTGAGGGTACAATTTTCACATGCATTTTGACTAAAAATTGTGTTGCCAGATTAAGATGCAGAATTTATCTAGAGGCCAATCCATCAACAAAAAGCCAAACCTTCTGAAAATTGGATGAGTTATGAGGGTGGGAAATGTTGACCTTTGTCTATATAGGATATTTGAGGGTACAATTTTCACATGCATTTTGATTAAAAATTGTGTTGCCAGATTAAGATGCAGAATTGATCTAGGGGCCAAACCATCAACAAAAAGCCAAACCTTCTGAAAATCGGTTGAGTTTTGACCGAGCTATGAGGTTGGAAAATGTTGACCTTTGTTTATATTGGATATTTGAGGGTACAACTTTCACATGAATTTTGACTAAAAATAGTGTTGCCACATTCAGATGCAGAATTAATCTAACAAAAATTGTGTTACCAGATTACGATGCAGCATTTATCAGACACCAAACCATGAACAAAACGCCAAACCTTCTGAAAATCGGTTGAGTTTTGACCGAGTTATAGGGTATGCAATGTTGACCTTTGCTTATATAGTATATTTGAGGGTACAATTTTCACATGCATTTTGACTAAAAATAGTGTTGCCAGGAGTAGATGCAGAATTGATCTAGAGGCCAAACCATGAACAAAAAGGCAAACCTTATGAAAATCGGTTGAGTTTTGACCAGTTATGAGGGTGGGAAAGGTTGACCTTTGTCTATATAGGATATTTGAGGGTACAATTTTCACATGGAATTTGATTAAAATAGTGCTGCCAGATGTGGATGCAGAATTGATCTAAAGGCCAAACCATGAACAAAAAGCTAAGCCTTATGAAAATCGGTTGAGTTTTGACCGAGCTATAAGGTGGGAAATGTGGACCTATGTCAATGTAGGATATTTGAGGGTACAATTTTCACATGAATTTTGACTAAAAACAGATACCTTATTGATCAAGAGGCAAAGCAATGAACCAATAGCCAAGCCTTATGAAAATCGAATGATATTTGATAAAGATATTTAATAGAAAAAAAAGCAATGAAAATCTGAATGCCTTTAATCATTTTTTTTTCGACACAGTATATGTATATATACTCATACATATATACGTATATCCGCGCATAAGTAGGTTTGCTGGAAATGCAAATCTAATAAAAATCCACTTTGTAAAAGTATGAAAAATTACAATGAATTTCATTATAAATGCAAAAATATTGTGGGAAACAAGATAAAAGGGCTGCTAAACGCGTCCTGTGGCCGCGTCGTCATCATCGTCATTTTCCTTATCACCATCAGCAGTGGCCAGCGTGAGTAAACCTGATCAAAATCATTGATGCGCAAAGCATGAGAAAGCAGCTGCAGAAAAACGTGGAACGTGGTCGCATAAAGTTTAAGCTAAGCTGTTGATAACATTGATGATAACGGCGAGGAGTAGGGGTATGAGGAGGAAAAAGATAACCGCAGCGATAATGGTCGAAGCGGCAGTCAGGTAAACCGAAGCCAGTCGCCAAGGATAAAGTAGCACGCAGCTCAGTGCGTGCGCTGCATTAAGAAAATTTGCTTTGAGGAGAAATAACTTGTATACCCTACGTTCAACAATAGATACTTTACTAGAGACTTTACCACGTAAAATTTATGAATTTCTGAAGCTCTAAATATTCTGGATAGATCAATATTCTAAAAAAAATTGTGGGCATCACACCGTATTTTGTCTTAATTTGTCTTAATGTAGAAGGTATCCTCTAGCCGATCCCTGTGGAAAAGATTTGGTCTTTCTGTTTCAGTTTAGCTTTATCAGGTGATAAACACAGAATAATTCATCGGAATAGAGCGTTGCTGGCAACGTGGTGAGGAGGTGAGGAATGCATAATTATTAGCATGACACGTTTGGCGTCTGTGTTCATTGACATTGAGCTAGGCAAATTATGGCAAATGTCGCAGTATCGCAGTTAAATAATCAACATAATCTAAGCATTGCAGTGCTCCTCCCCTGCTTGGATTTGGTCTGGCACGAAATTATTTGTATAGGAATTTAAATTGAATGTCAGTTGAAGTTATCTGCGGGACTCCTCTTTATATACATATGTACTCGTTTTTCTGTATATATGTAGAAGAGGTTCTTCTGTTCGCCTGCTGTAAAATTCCAAATTTGTTTTATTTGATTTCTGTGCTGTTGCTTTCGCTCGTTTTCTTGCTCTGTTGCCGCTGCTTTGCTGAATATTTCTTTTTTTATGCAAAATATATGCTATAAATGCCTCTGGGCCGCCTTTATTTGAATATCGTGTCACATGTCGCACGCAGTTAGTTGCCGCCTGTCCCGTCCAATGTTGGCGCTGCCGTTCGTTGTTATTGTAATTGTTGTAAATGTCGCCAACGACAATATCACATTTGCATATTTTTGTGCAAACACACGGCGACCCCGACCCCTGCACCCCAAACACCCCCCTTCACCAGCTTGTGTGTGTGCATTTTTACTTAATTTTATTTGTATTGGATTTGCGCTGATGTCTCCGTGAAGCCCACTGCTCGTAGCTGCTGCTGCGTTTTGGAATTTTGCAATTTTCACAATAAATTTTAATTCAATTTACTGTTAAGTTCACACAACTAAGCGGACGCGGAAGTGCACATTCTGGCATGACAATCGTCCTCCGGCAGCGCCAACTCGACAGATGCATCCTGCAGCTGGAATTGAAATTTGAGCTGGAGAGCTGGTTATCTAGATACAAGATACAGTGCGTGCTGCTTTTAAGGATTGTTAAACTTTTGACCTATTATTAATAAATTTAAAAAGAGAACAATTAGTAAATATGCTTTAAAGGTATATTTTTGCAATTGTACGTTTTCTTTTAACCTTTTAGTGCCTCCTCTAGCAGCTTTGTTATTCGATTAAGTTCTTTCATAGCTAATAACCACTGTACGGTCGCTTTGCGAATTGTTATAAGTCGGCTGCCAGAGGCGCTGGTTTTGCAACTGTCTCAGGGTCCACTGAGTTGGTGCAGTTTATGCCGCACAGCTTCGCTTCAGAGTATGCAATAATTTGCCCATATTATGGTAATGGGTGCATCGCATGTGCAGCCATTTTGATTTTGATTGTGAGCACTCTGATTAGTGTAAAGTAAATTGAATGTGTGTGGAGCTGTAGTGTGGAGACATAAAACTACTAACGACTACACTCATTTGAATTTGTTATCAAAATTGCCGTTCACAACTGACTCGGGTTTCCCGTTTTTCAAGCAACCGTAGCCTAAATGGCGAATGCAGCGGAGGAATCCCATCCGCCGTCTACGCTGTGAGTATTTTCACTGCGTGTATTAATTATAAGCGCATATGTGTTGAATTGATGCAATTTTCCTGGCAGCCACTCCAAGTCATCGCTTTACATTTACGACCCATACGAGAAACGCACTGTTCTGGTGCCCTTGAAGTAAGCATTGTCAAAGTCATGTTAACCTGTTATCGAAGGTATATGCCTCAGCTACTGATCCGACTCCTGTTTCTGCTCCGACAGCAATTTTGATGCATTCATATCCCTGCTTAAGTGTGTGATAGGTACTGGAATTCTGGCCATGCCGCTAGCTATTCGCTACTCAGGCGTTGTGGCCGGCGCCCTGCTCTCTGTGTTCCTGATGATTCTGCTTACCTATTGCATTCATTTGCTGGTGTGTATGTGCAGCTGCCTATGCTGCCTATGCACGGTCCAATTGGAGTTATTTGCATTTAGCTTTCCCGCATAGATCACTGGGATGACCGAGTGCTGTCGTCGCATCGAAGTGCCGCAGGTATCCATGCCGGAAGCCGTGCGCATTGCCTATGAGTTGGGACCAGGCTGCGTGCATTGCTTTGCTCGTGTGGCTGGATTCTTTACCAGTTGTGTGTTGGCTTTTGGCCAGTTTGGTCTCTGCTGCGTTTATATTGTCTTTGTGTCCAAGAATTTTAAAGAAATCGGCGATTATTACCTTAAGGACTATAACGAGCGTTACTACGTGCTCTGCGTCTGTGTGCTTCAACTCCCATTTATTATGATACGCAAGCTAAAGTTTCTGGTGCCGCTGAATCTTATATCAAACATTCTGCTCTATGCGGGATTCTTGTGCATCATGTATTATCTGTTTCGGGGACTGCCTAATCTACAAGAGAGAGAAATGTTTAAGCCCCCTACGAACTGGATGATGTTTTTTGGAATTGCAGCCTTCTCGCTAACAGCTGTTGGATCGGTGCGTAAAATAGTTGCTTTCTAGAACATAACATTCGCTGAAGCTCAAACATACGCACAGATGCTCGTCGTGGAAGCCAACATGTCCCATCCAGAAAGCTATCTAGGCTTTTTTGGTGTGCTTAATCTGGCCGTATTCTGCATACTGTGCTCAAACATATTTTTCGGAATCATGGGCTATTGGCGATACGGAGAACATGTGGAAGCTAGCATTACGTTAAATATTCCGCAAAATGAGGTGTAAGTAGATCACATCTTTGACTAATATCACAATTTAAGTAGACTACCAGCTCAGTATATTATTAATTTCTTAACATATAATATCCTCAGCCTTTCACAATTTATTAAGGCGTCCATTGCGTTAGGCATCTTTCTAAGTTATCCACTGAACGGGTTTGTTTTCACTACAGTTGTCTTCAGTGACTATGGAAAGGAGGGCAAGGAGGGCTCTAGCCGCAATCGTCGTTGTGCATTGGAAATCTTGGTACGCCTCTGTTTTCTGTTGTGCACTGGTAGGTGGTGCAGCCTGACATGGTCGTTCTGCCAATATTGCTCAATGCTTTTTTGTAGGCATTGTGGCTGCTGTGGTGCCAAATTTAGCCGCATTGACCGAACTGGAAGGTGCATTTTCTCTGTGCAATTTGAATCTCTTATGTCCGGCACTGATTGACATGTTTGTGAACTATGATGTGGGCTATGGTCGACTGCGTTGGAAGCTAATACGTGACATTTTGATAATAATATTGGGTATTATCTTTGGTATTGTGGGCTGTACGGTGGCCATAAGGCAGCTGGTGGATGACCTTTCGCGTCTTCAACAGAACAAAAGTTGATAGCCACTTGCTAACGTTGTATTGACCAGTTGAATCTTTGTCTGAATTCAAGCATTTTTTGGTGGGGCAAACATTATTTTATTGTTGCTATTGTTGTTGTTGGTTGGCTGGTTGTCTGCTTAGCTTCGTTGGGTTATCCTAGCTAAGCTAGAGCTATTGTTGAACAATATTTGTATATAGACTAAATTTGTTGCCTTGACTGTTGCTGGTTTTACTCCAGGTTACTCTGTACCAAAAATGAGGACATCAGCAGGGTATAATAAAGTTGTGCGAAAGTGGAAATACCTGTACATGTATAATTTTTATTAGTATAAACATTGTTTTTAATAAAAAGGCATTAGGAGTGGCGCATGTGAATACAATAGAATATCTTCATATAGAATATCTTGTCGTCGACCAGTTAACTCTTGCATGTGGCATCGATTTCTGGTGGCATTAATTAGGCACTGCCCCGACACACGTAAGCTGATCAACTGCGCAAATCGTTTTAAATGAAACGAACTGTAATCAAATGCACTAAGTCAGTCCAGAGCCATCCAGCCACAATTGCGCCGGGACCTTTGCGATTCTAAAATTGAATTCCTTGCCTCAACGGAGCCCAAATACAAAACTTGCTGGTTAAGTTGGTAGCTCTTGTAGCCCGGCCCCAGCACAATAAACTAAAAGACAAATACAAATACAACTACAAATGAGTCGAGACGTCCTGCCGTTCTATGCCTGGCAAGTACAGCAAATACATACATATATAAATAGGCACAGGAAAAGCAACTGCCGACGCCGACTGTTGACTGTGGCACTGTAAATAGCACGGCGAGTAAAATACAATAAAAAATAATAAAACAAAAAGAATGCAAGTACGAAAGGCATGATGCGAAAAAAGTAAAGCAGCTCCTCAAGGAACTGCACGAGGACGATTGCGACCACTGCAGCAAATACACAAAACACAATTTCCATTCTTCAAATAGGAATAAAAAAAAAACAAAAAACAAATAAAAAAATAAAAAGGAATCTTGCAACTGCCTGCGACAACACCCGGGATGGGCGAGGGCAACAAAGGCCGGGGCTGTTGTCCTCGGGCTTGAATTTTGCAGACATCTTGCCTAAAACTTAATTTACAAACGTTTGCAGCGAGCTTCAGCCTCAGCCTCAGTGGAAAGCAGCTAAACAACCGCCAACCAAAAAGATATTCGGCCTAGGCAGACGTAGAACAGCTGCGACAAGGAAAGGAAAACTTGCCCGTTACAAACAATTTTCGTATATAATTTTGTGAGGTCTTGCCCAAAAAATGGCAAGTCGGTTTCTTTTGCCTAGTTGTCAGTACAGCATCATGTTAGTGTCATTATCAAACAATTGCGCGCTGCAAAGTCAGTTAAGGAATACGAGCCAGACGACAGTCAGCTTCCAAAGTCAACGTCTGCGGATCTCACATGGGCCGTCGGAAAGTTGTTGCTGTCGCACATGCCGGCCCGCAAACAATGCGTGCCACGACTTCAGCCAGCGAAGTTGAGGAGCCCGGCAGCTTAGTCTCTCACTTTTCTTCTTCGTGACAGTCCTACAGTCTGCCAAATTACAGTTTCGCAAATTGAAAAATTCCAGTTTTAGCACAATTATTCGACAAACAAACAAAATAAATGTATGAAAATTGTGACTTAAAAACTACATCGTATATTTATTAAACTTAATTTTAATATTTTTTTCATATTTTCTAACCAGACTCAGCCATTAAGAGCTTCGCAAGTATTTAGCGCAATTAATTAGATCCACGTATTTGCAAACACCGTTTACATATGTATGTATTTGTCTTTGGTTGATTATTCACTCTTCCACTGTTAACATTTCATTAGCGTTGACGTTTTCACTCCTGGCTTCAGCTAGAACAGAGAGTAGCTGAATACAATGATAAAAATAGCTAAATCAGTTTAAAATTGCAAGTGTTTCCGGCTAATGAAATAGCTAAATAAGCAAAACTGAATATATGAGCTGGTAAACTTACTGTTTTTATCTGTATGTTGCGCTCACGCCATTGGTCGTAACGCTTTTGATCCCGTTATCTTAGTTTCGACAAAGCGTACGCGAGAGAGAAAGGGCAATTTAGTCTGTGATCGTCTGCCTTCTTGATCGGTGGAGTTACATACGCATAAATAAGCATGTGTAGCTTAAGTCGTTTTTATCTCAGTTTAGTAAATTACCAAGTTTTGAAAGTGCTAAATTTCAAATAATCACTACCCCTTGTTCATCGCTTCAGAATATACATATGTATATATGTTAAAATGAGTGCCGTATTTGTGCTAGGCTTGTTCGCTGAAAATCAATTGCGCACTTCAGCCAAAAAAGAGAGATCCCGTTATCCTAGTTGTGTATTGCTCGTTCTTCTTATTTTTCTTTTCATGCTTAATTCGTCTGTTAAATTTCCAATAAAATGAGTGTGCTGAGCTTGTTCGATGAAAATAAATTTGCGCACTTCAGCCGAAAAGAGGCGATCCCGTTATCCTATTTGTGTATTGCGCGTTCTTCTTATTTATCGTGCTTCTTTTTGTTTTCGTTTCATTGTAAATGCCGGCATAGTCTTGATGCGAGCGTAATGAGATAATTTAGTCTGTGCGCGACTGCCTTCCTGATCGGTCGAGTTACATACACATAAGCACCTTAGTAAATTACCAAGTTTTAAAAGTGCTAAATTTCAAAAATGCACTACCCTCTGTTCATCGCTTAAGAATATGCATATGTATATACATATGTAAATATAATTATCTATCGTTTAAATGAGTGCCGTATTTGTGCTAGGCTTGTTCGCTGAAAATCAATTGCGCACTTTAGCCGAAAAAGAGAGATCCCGTTATCCTAGTTGTGTATTGCGCGTTCTTCTTATTTATCTTGCTTCTTTTTGTTCTCGTTTCATTGCAAATGCCGGCATAGTCTTGATGCGAGCGTAATGAGATAATTTAGTCTGTGCGCGACTACCTTCCTGATCGGTCGAACTTTCGCTTAAAAACATTGAGCAATAAATAGGAGAAATATTTATTAATTAAATGGGTATCAGTCGTTCATTTAATTTTGTTATTCTGTTTAACTACCAAGAATCACTGCTATTCTTTCAGCGCCGTGATATTGTAATTACGTGTCGCTTAAATAATTTTTTTTTTGGTTATTTTTTTTTAGTTGTGTTGACTTCTTCGATGAAAATGAAATGCTGCGCTTTCGAGATTGATCCACATTCAAAAGCTTATCCCGAAATCTTAGTTGTGCAACCAGCCAATACCGATTACGCAAAAAGAGAAAAATTATTGATGGCTTCGGCGCGTTTTTGTTTTTTTTTTTTTTTTGTGTCAGCAAATGCCAGCATAGTGTCGACGCGAGCTTAATAAGATAATTTAGTATGTCCGCGTCTGCCTTCCTGATCGGTCGAATCCTCGGTTTAATTAATTAGCTGGTGTTAATTTGATATCATGTTCGTCTAATAAATTTCCAAGAATCATTGCCACCCTTTCGCTGCCGGGAAATTATAATTAAGTGTCGCTTAAAATGTGTTTTTTTTTTTTTGCGAGCTTTCGAGCTGATCTCGTTATCCAGCCAAAAGCGTTTATGCAAGAAGCCGGCAATGTTGATGCGAGAGCAGTTGCATTTTAGTTTTTTTTTGTTTTTGTTTAAGTGCTAATGTCGGCTTAGGGCGGCAATCGTGATAAGTTCGGGCTGTTTGTGTTAAATAGATTCGCCCTCGTTCGGTAAAAAAAACTGTTCAATTGATGGAATGCTTTTTATGATAAGTAAATTAGCGTACAACCAAACATGATGCTAATAAGAAGAGAAAAGAGAAATTTAAGCTATTATGAAACAGGTGAGTACTCTCTTGTACACATATTTATAATTACATCAGTTACGTTGGGGATACCATTTTTTTTTTTTTTTTTTCGTTCAATATTATAGGGAAGGGTATTATAGTTATGTTACTGCGGTTCCTTTTGTTTTTTTTTTTTTTGTTTGTTTAAATCCTTAAAATTAAACGAAGAGTAAAATATAAATTAATTTGAAAAATTCAATACACAAAGTGACACGGTCTGTCACGCCTGCGTCCCTTCTCCCCACTCTTTTATTACAACAAAATAGGTATTTATCATGTGGGTTACCGCACGCTTTGTCAACTGAGTTTGGCACGTTTCAGTTCGATCGAACATTTCTTTACTTGGCTTGCGATGCCACGTCAACGTTTCGTTGATGCCTCGAATGTCATACTCGTATTTGGGTTGACCACACATTCTCTAGCTGTGTGGATTTGCCTTTACTTGATTTCAGTGATTGGTAAGTGAAAGCGCCCAAATGCAGCAGTGGATGTGTTTTGCATGCTGAACTGATTTTAAATTACACACAACCAACAAAAAAGGGAAAATTAAGTTGAAACCGCCGCAGAAAATTGTCACAGCATAGAGAGAGAGAGAGGGAGAGGGAGAGGGAGAGGGAGAGAGAGAATCTTAGAGTTATCTGAAGTATTTACTTATTTATTCCTTATTCAACGAAATTTTCTTGAGAATTTTCTAAGCAGCAGAGAAAAACTGCCCAAGTCACATACTCGTTGGATTTCTTTTGTTTTCTTTTTTTTTGTTTTTGCTTTTTTTTTTTGGGCTGGACATGTGCAATTTGAATTGTGCAGGCTCTTGGGCAGGCTACTGACATAGAGTAATGCTGGTATGCAACCCGGAATCGCTGGATTCGCTTACAGTCATTCATCTTGACGAGTTTGTCTCTGGCATTTGCTTTTGTTTTGCGGCATGCGGAATTGTAGATTTTTCAACCAAAATGCTTTGGCATTAGACTATCGGGAAATAATGCAAATACAAAAGGGCAGAGTAAGGAGACTTAGCTCAGAATACCGGACAACTGGTCAACAATGTGCCAGTGCATAAGTTGGTATTATGCAACAAATATGTGTACAGTGTAATAGATACAAAGCAAGAGGCGGCACCCAGGAGCAGTATCCGGAGGAGGAGAAGGAGCAGGGGCGGGACAGGGCCAGGACCAGGGCCACGGCTTATGCCTTACGGGCTTGTGCAGATCGTTGTGGCTAAAACATTAAAAGAGTTCAAAACTGTATTGGATTTCAGGGCTTACAGACTGGCAGCATTACAAAAATAGTTGCATCGACACAGTCAGAAAATCACTTTATTCAACTTACGCTCTGGCTCGCTCACTCGCTTGTAAACTTATTTGCATCCCCAACGGTCAGTTGCAAAGCACGCGAGCAGTGTGTACATCTTAAAGATATATTGTAGGAAAAATTGTTCGCAATCACCAACTACAGTGGCAGGAACAAAGAGGAAATTAACTGGGCAAGCAACTAATTAAGTGTGTGAATTCCAATCAACTCAAGGCAAGCTGCAGCTCTTACTCTTCCTGCCTATATCTAGCCATGGGCTGTTTGTTGCCTCGTCTAATGAACAAACTAATTGCAACGGCAACTGCAAAAGTAATCAAAGTGGCAGTCAGTTCCAAACCAAGTCTGTACTCACGGCTCTCGACTCGAGCAAAACGGCAATAATAACAAAACTTTGTTGAAGAATTTTGAGAATGTTGCACAAATATGCGCAAAATGCAAGAAAATATGCTTGGACGAGGCAGTCTCACATACCCAAATGCCAAAGAGAGAGAGAGAGAGAGAGAGAGAGAGGAAGGGCCAGAGAAAAACTGAGCTGAAGTGTTGTTGCCGCTGGCTTATATCAATAATTGCCAAAAGCAAATTGGAAAAGTTATGCGCCAGCAGTTAATGTGACCAGCGAAAATAGTCGCAACCCGTAACTGCAGCACCAGCAACAGCAGCCGCAGCGGAAGTATTATAATACATACATCCACACATATATCTGTATATTTACATTCATATTTAAATGTACATTAGCAACCAATTTGTTGAAGCGAAAGATGCTATAATATTGTTGTAGCTATTGTAATATCCTAGGTGTAGAGTTTGACTCAGCTGTGAAACGAAATCAATGAATACTTTCATTATAGAACACTGCTGATCCACAACTCTAGTTTTATATTTCCTGCTATTTCATTCTCTTACTTTAATGAAACTTGTTTTTAATTTTAAATATACTTTGGTATATTTTAATGAAGATTGCGTCTTCCTGAATACAAAACTAATGATAGTGTAATCCTGTTTCGTTGTGCTTTAAATGAATTTGCCTTCAAATCATTTTTTTGTTTTATGTTATAGCAACTTTTTGCGAAACTTCCTCAAGCCGCAGCAGTTTTTGAAGCCGCTCTCCAAGTATCGACATTGGCATCAATCTGATTTTGGGCTCCTTCGATTACTTAGCATTATTAAAACTGCGGGCTGAACTTTTCGAGCAGCAAACTTGTAAAACTATTGGCAATGGCAATGAAACCAAATTTTCGACTAAGCGGTTTATGCGGCTCATTGAATTGATAGTAGCAATTAGTACTAAATCTAATGACATGATTAAACAAATTGCGAAATTTGAATTCTGACTATATAAACATGACTTTCAGCGGATTTTAGAGTCAGTTTTTGGATGTGGCTTTATTATGAGCAATTTTTATTTATTGATAGTCTTTTGTCTATTCGTTGGTTCGGAGTTTTGAAAAGAATTGGATTTAAATAGTGTATTGTATATATATGATAGCTTTCGCCCTATACTAGTCCCGGTATGCTAAGGTCAAAGCGAATCTGGCGCTCACTTTGATTGAGGAGGCTCCACGTCAGTTCAGCGCGGTGCTTGTGCGAATTTGCGCTTAGCAAATGGAAGTCTCCTTACAGGAATGGCTCATATTTCATGTCAATGACTTCCGCAATGTCACGGAGGCCACTCAATGCTTTGCCTTCTGCTTATATGATGGGGTTTTTGTGGAACAAGATTTAATTGGTCGTCTGTCGGAGCTGAGTTATCCTACCTGGTTGTCTCAGCACGCTTGTCATTCACTACGCAGCGCAAACAAGTGCGAAGATGCCTACAAAATTCACGAGTGCAAACAGAAGATTTTGAATGAAAAATTAAACTTGAAGCAGGGGGAGATTGAAGAAAATATGACACAGTTTACTACGACGACTCGCTACCAGAGCTAGGCTTACTATTATTTTTGGTTGAGGTTTTTTGTTTTGTTTTTTATATATATATATATATATATATATATATATATATATATATATATATATATATATATATATATATATATATATATTTATATATTTATATGTCAGCTGCTGGTGGAATGTCTTGTGTGGCTGAATCAAACACCTGAAAATATCATTGAAAAGTTATTCGTATGTTTGTTCTTGTTTATCAACTACTTAAGAGCAAGTTAGCAATTGTCGGCTTAATGTGACAGGGTGTTGGTAGTTGCTTGCCCTTATCCTTAGTCACAATCCTGATTTAAAGTCAGCAGTTTGCGTTTGGTATCTATTAGAGAGGGTTGGATTCCATACGTCAAGGCAAAGTTGTAATGCTCTTAACGCTTATGTCTAAACCTCCGCGTATTGATGTGCCAAAAAGTGTGTGGTCTGTGTATGCGAATGTAGGGATTGCTGCTGCTTTCTGTTCGTAGTCGCCATCGCTTGTGCGCCTCTTATTCTGCCTTATGCCTGGCACAACGACAGCCGTCGTACAAGTTTTGACATGTCTGCCTTGTAATGCGCTGAAAGGAGTTTTATGTCCAGAATAGGGAAAAGGATGTTTTGTGCCAACTATTTCTCTGTTCTTTTTGTTAGTCTGGCAAACATAATTTTTTTTATGTTGCTTATAAAAATGCATTTTAAATCAGGACCACGCTGCTTCCCCTTGTATCCCACAGGTTACATTCCACAAATTTGTGTCGCTGTAAATCAAATGAATAATTTAAGTTGTTGTCGGGGCTCGTCGATCCGCTGAGCGCGTCAAATGATTCATTTTTTGATTTATATCAGCAACAACACGAAAACAAAAAAAAAAGAACAATAATATCAAGTGAGCTTTGCGTAATTGCATTAAATGGCATGGAACCGAACCCATCACCGAGTGAAACAGAGGAGTTCCACAATCGAAGAAAGGGCCCTGAAAAAACCGTTTCCCTTTCAACATCAGCGCACAAAATTCCAATTTATTTTAATTGATTTATTAATGATTGAAATGTTGCATAAATGTAATGATAAAAATTTCCCTATCTCTCTCTCTATCTCTCCTTTATATATTTATATATATATGTATGCAATTTGGATACGAGCACGTTATCTGGGCAACAAAATCGAGTTTTCAGCGTGGAATATTCCACAACTTATTTTTTGTCAAATGAAATGCCACAGCATCAGCTTAAGACTAATTGCTAGACCGATTCGGGTGTCGATTTTTGCTATGCATTACATATTTTGAAAGTCGCACGCCAATAGGTCTCACGATTAGGCATAATTATGCAATTTCCTCTGTAACGCTCAGCCAGACAGACACAAAAGAGTTAAATTCAATAAAATTTACATTTAACCACAAAAACAACTCAAGTTTTGCAGCCGACAACAAAAAGTAGAGAAAAGCGAGGAACAAAGTTAAGATAAAAGTTGAACAAAGAAAGAAGATGAGACTGAGACCATAGTCTGGTGCTGGGTGCAGATGCAGAGACTTATGTAAATTGAAATTCAAGCGCACAAAACAACACCACAAACAACTGAGAAAATAGCAGAAAAACTGACGGTAGTTATAAAGAATTTTCATTCATTTCGAATTACGCTGTATGAGTGTCAAAATGGCGGCGTTTGGCCGTAAGCCATAATTGAAGGCAAGGCTTATGAAGGAAAAAGAAGGAGGTGAATGAGGTTTGGGACTGGGCTTGGACCAATTGGCTGGCTTTCGTCGCCAGTCAACTGCTGCAGACCAAAATTCAATTTCATGCCGCGTGACACAAAGACAAAGGCAGGCAGTAGCAACAGCCGCAGCAGCGACGACAGACAGTTCACAGTTCCCAGGTCCCAGTTACTAATTCCAATCCCCCGGTGAGCGCAGCTGGGCTGCCGACGTCGTCAAGTTGGCATTCACAAATGTGCGCACTTCGCTCAAAAGAATTTCAAATTAGCCACTTTTGCTTAACAATTGGCACAGGGCGACAAATTAAAATCGTAAGGGCAAAAGCCCTTCCTCAAAAAGGATGATGAAGATGGGAGTTCAGGTGGGACTGACACAGCCGGCGACAATTTAAAGTCAAGTGCGGGTATTGAGCAAAATAATTGCCGTGCGGAATGCACTTGAAATGCAGATAAGTGGACGGAGACGCTTTGCGGGCTGACTTCGATCGGCCATTAGCGCCATTTACTTGAATCAACGTAGTAGACTACAGCTTTACGTATAATCACATATACATACACCGACTTTGAACTGCAAGTGGAATCAAAAGCAGCTGCTTACCACCAATGCTCCACGACCAGCTAAGTCGCAAAATTTCTACGTAAAAGCGAATTCGCAAAAAGCAATTGAGAGCGTGGTCTAGCCGGCAACAGCAACAATCTCTAAATCTAGCCATAGTGCTAACCAAGCCACTGGTCAGCTGTGCGGTCTACGTGGAGTCAGCTAGACCTTATTATTGAAGATATCGAAGAGTTTGCCATATATATTGGAATTCGATTCAATGATGCAAGTTGTAGATGTCTACATACTTTCAATTGACATTAGTAACTACAATTCAGTTAAATTTTATTTTCTTTTGATTTATTTAATTTAATTGATTTTAATCGCCGCAATTCAATTGAATTTTATTTTCTTCCGATTCATTTAAAAATATCTTTTAAACAATAAATTTGATTTTATCCCTTCGATTCATGATTTTTACTCAAAGTCCTCTCTTTAAAGAAACAATTGAATTGTCATAAAGTTTCACTTTTCTGTGAGGCAGACAAACATTTCTTATTTATGGTACCATTTTTTTTGTTTTGCTTTTGTCGCCAGTCGAGTAAACTTATGAGCCTAGCAGCTATTGCTTGTGGAAGGACCCTTGCGTTTCAGTTGTCGCCTTTGTGTTGTCTACTTTTGGGTGTAAAAAATTAAACCGCAACGAATGCGCAGCAAGCGGCATGGCAACAGGGCAAAAAGCCAAAGCTAGAGCTAAAGCCAGAGATCGATAAGCAAAAGCTGAGAAAAATGTAAATAAAGGCCCTCGATTGGTTAGCAACCGCAAAATCTCATCACGTTGCGCAAATACTGACGCGTGCTAGGCCGGCGTTCAAGTGTAGATTAAAAAATGGCCGCAAATAACTTTAGGCATCGCACCACAACCCCACAAGGGCTTGCGTGGAGGGGAGCGCCCCAAAGTAGGCTAGGCGTGGTTCCATATTCGCACTTGAAAATCGATTATACGGCTACGCCTCGTGTGTGTGTGTTCAACTTCTGATAAATCACGTAGAGCCAATTGCCAATTCCCGATTGCCAATTGTGAATTCGGCGTTTGTGCGCGTGTTTACACGCCTAAAAGTGTGCTAGCAAGCATTTAATTGCGTAGTTTCGGTTAAGCGAATGACACTCTTCTCTAATTAACTACGGCAGCGTTCACCATTTTTGCCGTATCATGGCTGCCAAATGAACTGACAACTGGCGAACTCGCACCCATATGGAGCATGAAATTTCAATCATTAGTCATAAGGCAGAGCACAGCAGGCGACGTGTCGAGGGCGACAGCCCCGAAGACAACAGACGACAGCGGAATTTCTTCATTTACAGGAGCATCCTCGACGTTCCTGTCGTGTCGACATTGCTGACAGGACACCAGCAAGCGCCGCGTTGTGGTTGTGGTCGCGTTTCTGCGGATAGATTTGCCACGCCAGCATCACACAACTGGCAGCTGTTTATGTTGCCTTATGGCTGCTGCTTCACTGGGTGTGCCATGCATATAATTGCAGACATTTGTGGCCTAGCCTTAGCCCTACGCCTGCTTATTGTTTTAATTAAGAAATTTTAGCTTTGGCTCTATTAAAATCTTCTAAAAATAAATCTGCAGTTGCCGCTGCTGCTTCTTCTGGCGACCAGCTGCAATACATTAATTTACATGTTGTCAGTTCGTTGTGCGCAGCGCGCTGGTTTGCCACCCAATCTTTTTCTAAGTTTCTAAGCAATAAGTCCTACTTCAACCCCAAACCAAACTGCAACTGCACCTCCAACTTGGGCTTGCCTCAATTCGTCTTGTGGCCTCTGCTGGTTAATGAGTTATGTCAAAGGAAAACAATGTTTGTTACTTCATTTATATGCCATTATTATTTCTGTTGTGGTTGTCGTATCCATTCTCCCCCTTTCTCCCTTGTATCTTGGCTTTTCTTTCAGTAACTGCAGCAGCAGCAGCAACTATTCTTCTATTATGTTGCTTGTTATTTGCTCTGCTGTTTTTCTGCTGTTGCTACTGGGCTCCTACTCTTGCCCCAGCTTCTTATATGGCTAGTGCCACAGCTTTGCCCTGCCTGCCACTGCCGCACAGCTACTCATTGTTGATGGCGAAAGTTTTTGTGCGGTTGCATTGCACCATGATTATGATTGTATTTCGTCATGTCACTATTATTTGCTATATTTCGCTTCAACTTTGGCCCCGCAGCCTTTTCATTTGAACAGTTTCTTGCACATTGAATTTAGTTTTCGCCAAATCAATTTAAAATTTAATTCAATGACTGATTCTCTTGGCTTTGCTTTTATCATGCTTATTATTTTTTTATATTGCGCTTTACGAGGCTATCGTTGTGGCATGTGGCCCATTAATATTGCGTATACGCAGCATTCCCCAAATTGGAATTAACAATTGAAATTTGGTTGTAATTAAAACTAATCAGCTGCACAAATATTTGTCTTGCTAATTACTTTAATAGAATATTATTGGTAATTTTAGAAGCTGCACGAAGTGCGCTAAGAATAACAACCCAAGCAGTTGACTAGCTATGGCAACAGCAACAGCTGCCAATATTTAATACTGTTGCATCTATATCACATTTTTAGTGCTAGCTAGCTACAAAGCCGACAGATTAAAATATTTATTTTGAAGCCTGTAACCCCCATTTTCCATCTCCTACTCAAATTGTGATTAAACTGTCGTAGCTCGTTAATGTTGGGTAAGGGGGAGGGGGCTGCAGTA